CCTGTCTAGTCCTTCGAATCCGAACCCTCGGACGGGAGCGCCGCCGCGCTTCCCAAGCGGCGCACTATCCAGTGCGCCACCGGGCCGGCCCGAGACTGTTTTATAGAAAATGGGTTCTGGTAACTAAAAATGTTTACGAAAAAACTAGATGGATCTTATAGAAAAGATTTCTGCATTAGGTCGAAAAAGAGATCCTTAATCTCTAAGGTCCCACCCAACTCAAATATTCCATACTGCCTATTCTTTTGCACAGCCAACACAATTAAAAGAAGCTCAGAAAAATATAGTCGCACCGAGAATCTCCCTAATCCAGGCCAAGAAAGGCATATGATGAACCAAGTCACAACTCACGAACTAATTATACTCAGTTTCCAGTACAAGTCAGAGTAAAAAAAGAGAAATGGATATGTTCCCCCAAAGGATTGGTCAAAGATAACAAGAATAAATTATAATTAATTTTCAATATCCAGATATTAACTTTCAGGCCAAGAAACATCCAAAAGTAAAGACGAAACTAAAGTGCAACCAAATAATAAGGGGCTTTTACAAAATTACCTCAGCACACAAAAATGAAATAATTTGCTAATTATATTTCACATATTTTTAATCTTGGCATTTTTATTCAAATTACTATATGAAAAACTTCTTATTCTCTATAAATTGCCAGCATCTTTACCTTGCTTCTTGTCTTCACTTTGGATTTGCTCTTCTGTTTTCTTTTCAACTTCTTCTTATTTAAAATTTTCTTATTCCTAAAAATTTTTAAAAAGTGAAAAAAATTTATGAATATTCACATACAACATACAAGCTATTAAACATAGGTATTTCTAAAATAGACACTTTATACTTCTCTTACAAACTTTCTATGAAACAATATACTCCACATATACAAGGGGTCTTCAAAAGGTTCATGGAAAATGTGTATTATGAAAATGCATGAATTGCAAAATTTTTTTGCACCAAAATAAACTCACACTAACTTGTTTTAACACGTCTGAACAGAATCAAGTTTGAGGTACTAAGAAGGATAAGACATCAGTTTGAAAAGAGTCCCTATCAGAGCAACATGAGTTCTGCTAAAACTGAAGTATGAACATCAAATTTATGGTGAAGCTTGGGTGGAAAAATGGTGAAATCACTGATGCTTTATGAAAAGTTTATGGGATAATGCCCCAAAGAGACAGCAGTGTACAAATGGAAAACTCATTTTAAGAAAGGACAAGACAATGTTGAAGATGAAGCCCACAGTGGCTGACCAACCTCATCAATTTGCAAGGAAAAAATTAACCTTGCCCTAAGTGAAGAAGACCATCAGTTAGTAGCAGAAACAATAGCCAACACCAAAGTCATCTCAATTGGTTCAATGTACACAATTCTGACTGAGAAATTACAGTTGGGCAACTTTTTTTTTTTCCTTTTTGTCTTTTTTCGTGACCGGCAATGGATCGCAACCCTCAGTGTCGCGCCCGTACCGGACTGGGACCGGCCACAGGATCACAACCCTCGGTGTTGCGCCCGCACCTCGCTCAGCCAGTGAGCGGCCGGTCTGTATGTGGGATCCGAACCCTCGACGGGAGCGCCACCACACTCCCAAGCGGCGTACTGTAGCAGTGCGCCACCGGGCCGGCCTGGTTGGGCAACTTTCTGCTTGATGGGTGCCAACACTGTTGCTCCCAGATCAGCTTTACCAGTACAATCCAAAAGACAAAGCACAATCAAAGCAATCTCTACCAAGAGGAGGAAGTGGTCCAGACAAAGCAAAAGCAGACCAGTCAAGAACAAAGGTTATGGCAACAGTAAAGCATTTTGCTCAAAGCATTTTGCTTGTTGACTTTCTGAAGGGCCAAAGTACAGTAACATCTGCTTATCATGAGAGTATTTGGAGAAAGTTAGCCAAAGCTGTAGCATAAAAATGCCTGGGGAAAGCTGTACCAGACAGTCCTTCTCTACCACAACAATGCTCCTGCCAATTCCTCTCATAAAAGAAGGACAATTTTACGAGAGTTTTGATGGGAAATCATTAGGCATCTACCTTACAGTCCTGATTTGGCTCTTTCTGACTTCTTGTTTCCTAATCTTAAAAAATATTTAAAGGGCACCCATTTTTCTTATGTAAAGAAGACTGCATTGACATGGTTAAATTTTAAGGACCCTCAGTTCTTTAGGGATGGACTAAATTACTGGCATCATTGCTCATAAAAGGGTCTTAAACTTGATGGAGCTTATGCTGAGAAATAAAATTTATATATTTTTTATTTTTGTCTTTTAATTCCATTTTCCACCAACTTTTTGAAGTCTTCTCAGACATATAAAATACTAACATATAAAGTTACTATTGAGAAGATAACACAATACTGGACAGCTAAATGACAAATAACTATAGAAATTTAAATTCTACAAAAACTTTTAAAAATTAAAATATAAAAAAGAGATCAAGGGCCGGCCCGGTGGCGCACTGGATAGTGCGCCGCTTGCGAAGCGCGGCGGCGCTCCCGTCCGAGGGTTCAGATCCCACGTACAGACCGGCTCCCGCTCACTGGCTGAGCGAGGCGCGGGAGCAACGCCGAGGCTTGCGATCCCATCGCCGGTCCCCAGTCCGGTGCGGGGGCAACACTGAGGGTTGCGATCCGTTGCCGGACATGGAAAAAAGACAAAAAGACAAAAAAAAATAAAAAAAATAAAAAGAGATCAAATGAAGTTTTTTTTAAAAGTGTATTTAACAATGGAGATACTGATAAATATCAGCTACCTCCCTTATGCAGAAAGTTTCTTTGACAGCTGGCTGGTATGGTATCTGAACCTTTGACTTTGGTGTTATAACACTGCGCTCTAACCAACTGAGCTAACCGCTCTTTGTGGCAGTTAGGGCAATAGTGCAAAAAGGCTTAAAAGTCACTTTTTTTCTAAAGTAATAGAGTAAAAGCTCCAATTCACACGCTTTACATAGCCAGTTTTTCATTACCTCAGAGCCCTAGGACTGAATTATTCTTTAAGCAAGAGGAAGTCCCTGAATGACTTTTCAGAAAGAGAAAAAAAATATGTGGTAAAGAATATTAATTATAATGAAAGAAACAACAGGCAAGGAAAACATTTCCTTTTAACTTAATATTTTTTATGCTCACCATGCTGAGATGCACACTGTTAGGTAATAAAGATACAAAATGAAAAAGACAGTTCTTGCCCTCAAGGAGCTCAGAGATTTAAATGGAAAGCACAGTTCAATGACTGAGCAAGAGGATGCTACTGCTGCAACAGAGAAGAAAGGGAGGAGGGGAGGAGATTCTAGATGCTGAAGAGATTAAGTCCTTAAGACTTGGTAACTAATTCAGTGGAAGCAGTGACTAAAGGAAAAAGTACTAAGCCTAAGTCCCTCAGAGGCAGAGATGTCATTAACAAAAATTGTGAAAGTCTGGAGGAAGAATTAGTTTACTAAATAGAAAAATGGGTTTGATTTTGAAGACATTTGAGCTCTAAATACTAATATGTCAACAAACAGATATGAGCAACAAGTTACCATCACCTCTTGTCTGAACTACAGCAAAAGCTCCCTAACTAATTTCTTTATATCCACATATACCCACCTTCAATCCATTCTTCACACAGGAATCAAAGTCAAATTTTTAAACACAAACCTGGGTGGGTAATTATCTCACTTAAAACTCAATATTTTGTCAATTCTCTTAAGATAAAGTCCAAAAGCACTCTTCCAATATCTGACCTCTGTCTCATTTTGTATTCCTCACGACCTTGTTTATCACACTCTAGCCACAGGACATTCTTTCAGTTGTTTGAATCCGTAGAGCATCTTTGGGGCTTTCACAAAGGTTTTCTCTCTGCCTGAAATTCTCTTACACATTTTCTACTGCTAACTTCTACTCATCTCTGAGGCCCCAGCATAAGTGTCACTTACTCAGGAAAGTTTTTCCAACTCCCTAGACTGGATGAGTTTTCCTAATATACACTCTTAACTCATATTATACTTTTGTTTCATTGTATAACCTATAACTGGCCTCTTTTCCGGCTGGAACCATGGAGGGAGTCAAAGAGAAGAAAAGATGGTTTCTGCTGTGCCAGAAACCCTTAAGAAAAAGCAAAGAAATTTTGCAAAGCTGAAGTTCAAGAATTTGAGGAAGAAGTTTGCCCTAAAGATGCTTCGAAAGGCAAGGAGGAAGCTTATCTATGAAAAAGCTAAGCACTATCACAAGGAATATACAGGGATATCACAAGGATGTACAGACTGAAATTCATATGGGTCAGATGGCAAGAAAAGCTGGCAACTTCTATGTACCTGAGAACCCAAATTGGCATTTGTCATCAGGATCAGAGGTTATCAATGGCGTGAGCCCAAAAGTCCCAAAGATGAGATCTTCAATAAGCTCAACAAGGCTTCAACATGCTGAGGATTGTAGAATCATTGCTTGGGGGTACCCAAACCTGAAGTCAGTAAATGAACTAATCTAGAAGCGTGCTTATGGCAAAATCAATGAGATGTGAATTATCTTGACAGATAACATTTTGATTGCTCAGTCTTTCAGTAAATATGGCATCATCTGCATGGAGAATCTGATTCATGAGATCTATACTGTTGGAAAGTGCTTCAAAGAAGCAAATAACTTCCTGTGGCCCTTCAAATTATCTTCTCCATTGGGTGGGATGAAGAAGACCACCCATTTTGTGGAAGGTGGAGATGCTGACAACAGGGAAGACCAGATCAACAGGCTTATTAAAATGAACTAAGGTGTCTGCCATGATTATTTCTGTAATCTGGCTAATTAATGAACAGTGACTGCTTTCAAAAAAAAAACAGAAAAAACCTGTAACTGTAATTATGTATGGAAGTATTGTTTAATTTATTGTTCTCTCACCAAGCCATAAGCTCCATTCACACAAAAGCTGTATCTTTCTTGTTCCCTGATCTAGCCTCTTTGATCAGAAAAAAGACTGGAACATAGTACTTAACAGTATTTTCAGAGAAAGAGAAAGTACAAGGGAAAGAAAGAGGAAGGGGAGAATATGAGGAAGTTCAGAGCTATTGCTACATGCCTTACTCAGCAAGCAAAATAAACAGAGAACCCAGGGTAGATCCATAGATACACCAATGCATTTAAAATATGTCTACCCAGAAATGTTCATTAAGGAGTTATCCATGGAATTATTTCACACATATTTTGGTGCACAGAAGGTAATGAACACCATGTACGTGGAAGAGATTCCTCCAGGATAGTATATTACAAAAGTAAAGAGAAAACAGTGATAAACAATGTCAAATACTAAACAAGAATAGGCATACCTGCTTACACAATCTATTCAACTACAAGCACTGTGAGAGCATGAAGAATGTCATTTCAACTTTGTACTTTAAGCACCTGCATCAGTGTCTGACATATTATAGATGCTCATGAAATATCAAATGAACGAATACATAAATGAAAAGCAATGAGTATTTCTCACATGTGGTTTAGGAAACCTTGAGAAAAATTTGAGCAAAAATAGGTAACTGCTAAAAGGTTGACCCCTTCTATAAGCACATCAAGGTTTATTCAAAAACAATTTTCAGAGAAGTAGAACATATAAATCCAAATTCAAATAAATTTCCTAAAGACTAGTTATCAAATCACTTAAATTTTCCCAATTTTAAGCCAATATTTTCATCTGTTTTATTTAATGAACTTCTTTAAAGTTCAAATGATTTTACATGCATTTCTAAAATTCTATACACTGTGGCATTTAATTGGTTACAACAATTCTAATG